TTTGAATTATTACTTATTCAGTATTAGAATTCGCGTATTAGTGTTTTGCTGGTAGATAATCTTTATTTCTGATTGAGAGCGGCATAGAGTCAGTATCTTAGAATTTAGTTGTGATTTGATGCATATTATTATCAAATAAAATCAAGAGGTTAAATAATTATTCCAGAATTTCATTGCGCCATCCAGAGATACTGTTGATCCCACCGTTAAAGTACCCACTGAGCTAGAGTTATTCGTGCAACAGCCATCGTATATCACATTCGTGTATTTAGATATATATACAATAAATATAGTGTTATATGCTTGGGATATTGGTTATTACTGCTGTGTTGTCGAGGTCGGCGGACTATTCGCAGAACGCGTAAACTTACGACGTGACGTCGACGTGACGTAGCCCAGTATTTCATATTCGTAAAGGAAGTATCCAATTTGAACAGACGATTTAAAATAAGTTATACATAATTTTTACACGACTGCCCAAAAAAGGAGTGTATGGTGTTTACGGATAATGCGTAATGTGTTGTTAAGCAACTTACATAGGATGGATAACTAAAAATTCAAGAAACACCTTTGAACAAAAATCCATTCTGATACGAGTACAATCTTTTCTATTTGTCTCGGCTCCGGGTGTTGTGGAACCTAGATTTGTTGCGCTCAGATTTGTGCTTTAGCTACTCAATTTGGAATCTGAACCGTATATATGATATAGTCTAAATATATGTTCATTTATTCATTACATTTTATTTTACGAAACAATTAGCGAGTTGACCGTGACCGAGACCGTGACGTTTTTATTAGGGATAGAATATTAAATAAGACAACACATATATAATTGCTTAGAGCTTTGAATTAAAATCTTATAACCACAACATTTATTTTAATTTTCTACATCGCCCGACTTACGAGAATATGACAGAATCTAACTCCTGAATGAGGGTTATCCATTCAGTCCAAACATCGACGCCATAAACTCGCACTCAGCATTCCAAAAGTCGTATAGACAGCACATTGTGTTTCACCTTACTTACTGGTACCGTAGTTAGGGAAGTATTATATGACATCATGTTGTTTATTGACTAGCAATAGACTATATAGATTATGGTTTCTACCCTTTTCTGATGATTAATCTGATATACACCACGCAGGGGTTTATATCTGGAGGATAGAGGTGCAGCAGCCTTCTGATGGTGCAAGAGGTACGACATCTTACCAATGTTATGACGACATTTCGTTTCATTTTACTACTTTGACGTATAAATAAATAAGAAAAAAACAAATGATAAAGAATGATAATCTAGGGGCATGGAAGTGCTCCCTGCAAGTCAAACTAAAAAGTAAAAAGGACACAGCAGTCTGATGTGTCCTTTTTAAAATTTGATATAGCCTTATTTGATAACAACTTTAAACAAAAAAACACATTTTCTACTTTTTGTAGACTTACTAGGTTTTGAAATCGGGCAGCAGAGTACCATACTTATCTCAAAGCCATTTGTGTGGATATGTCACGGATGTGTAGCTGTAGAGTAAACTAGAAGGCTAGATTTTCAGTGACCAAGAGGGCATCACAAACAGAGGCACATTTCCAAATCACATAAACGAGTACTTTAAGAATAATTGTCACTGACTGACTTATAGATCATCAAAATTCTAAGGTACTTCTAGCAGACCCGCAGGCTCCAAATTTGGAAAAAATCTAAAATTATGAAATATTTGTCCCGTTTTTTTAGATTTTGTATTATTTATAATTGTAGAGCATTTTGAAAACACCCGTCAATGTGTTGCTTTGCAACACAAACCAGAGACAACTTTACAAACATTTACCAACGAACGGCCCACAAACGGAATCAAATGAGCTTAGTTAATATATCCATGATATAATTATCTATACATAAGAAACAAGGGCTAAGTTGATTATTCAGTGTTAACATGCGGTCGAGCATATGCAGAGTAGATAAGCGCCAAGGCCCACGATCGTTGTTGTTAATCAACTTCCGCAAGGGTCGGTCATGGGATGGGTAGCTCAAATACTTCGGAAGGCACGTTAACCGTTGGTACCGGCTGCATTTGCAGTCGTTAATACCTTCCAATCCGCATTGGGTCAGCGTGGAGGATCATATCCTCCTTAACCATCCATAAGGAAGTCCTGAGCCCTTGCAGTGGGGGTTGAGTATTCCTAAGTCTATGACAAAGTTGGATAGCTGTTTTCACAGAATGATATGTACTAAATTAATCGACTTCGTTTAGTTACGTTGATTTCAAAACTTTTTACGGCAAAAGAATTGCGTTGTGAGCCCTGTGCATTTTTGTACATGTTATGTTTTTGATGGGTTATAGATCAACTAACACCCAGTTGCACAAATGTCTATTAGGGTTTAATGACGATTATAAGCTCTTATGGATTTAATTTTAATGGACTTTATGCGAGTCATTTATTCCAAATTTGGTCCACCAAAGTTAAATCAAGTTAAAGGGAACTAAAAATCTATAGAAAGAGACTAGAGTCATGGCTGGGGTGTAAGGCAATCGCACCACAGAACCCTCCTGAGAGAACCTCTTAGTTCATGTTACAAAATGCAAAAGGTTTTTGTATTTGTTGTATAGTATTTGTAAAGCTATGTTTATTATTGTGATAATACATATTATGTTGGTAATAACATGATTTATGTAAATGTCATTACTTATGACAAAAAGCTGGTAAGTTTCTTTCGCTTGTTCTTCTTGTCAGCTAAAAGACGTCCTGAACAAGTGGTAGGGGAAAAAAATTTTTGGACGATTCAAAAGTGCTTGTAACAAGCATACTTGAATAAAGATATTTTCATTTCATTTCATTATTCTTTCGTATTTGCTCTTAATTTATAGTTTCTTTGTGACCCCCTCAGAATAACTGATTTATGCCCGCGGGGTATAAGCGCTAGGTTGAGAACTAGTGCGCTAGTTCTAGATACATATACCTATAAAGGTAGTCCTCGAGTAAAAGTACAACTGACATTTCGAGCGATGTGAGTTATCTGTTAAGGCTAAAGATAGTTGCTTACATAAAAAATATTAGTAGGTACAGTAATGGAGTCGGCGTAACAGAATCCTTCTAACCTACCGATTAATTCGAAAAGGGATTTTCCATTTGTTATTGATTCCCTAAAAAACTATTAATCTGGCGAGAAAAAAACGCCAAGAAAACGTTTCAAACGATGTTATTATGAACATATATATTTTTTAATTTATACAGATAGTTTAAAGTGAATGAAATATGATGAAAATGTTTAAAATAACCAAGTACGTTAGAGTATATTATGAATCAGAGTGCACACGGTGTATAACGATCATAAGAACTGAAATAACGTTACAGGCAGCGCTCGTACGGTTGTTGTGTACAATATTAGATTTATGATACTGAGTGACCATGTTTGGGTTATTCAACAAAAGATATATCATGCTGGATTTGAGGGAAAGTAATAATGTTATTATTATTTAATTATTAGTATCTTAACATAATTTACAAAGATGTGAGAAATATAAAATGAATCCTCCATCCGACATTTTTTTACCTATGTTCAATTGTGCGACCTAACTCTCTAGCCATAGGATAAGATATCTTAGCGATGTTATATTTCAATTCTTTTTACTACTTTAACATGTACCTTATCAAAAAGAAGAAACAGGGGTAAAGAATGATGATTGTAGATTTAACAGCAGCATTACCAAATTTTTCATCCCATATTTATCCACCAAAAGACAATGTAGTAAGATAAGTATAAAGTAAGATGAAGCGATTTATTGCCTTAATATCGATAAGAACTTGTATTCTATGGCTAGAATCATGGTAAGAGAGTCAGGCGGGAGCCCTTGACTCCTATAGCTGATATAAAGAACAAGCGAAAGAAACCAGCTCTTATGTGTTACATTCAACTGACTTTATGGGGTCACTTCCCATTACATTTTTTAAATATAAAGTAATAAAGAACTATCATATTACTAAGATTTTAATATAATAATTTGCTAATATAACAATCATGCAAGAAATCATCCATCAAAATAACTAGAACATCTAAAATTCAGCGCATACGTATCCTCGCAGTTAGTTCAAAGTCTGAACCCAAATGTAGTGTAACTACGTAGCCTGTCAAAAAAGTATTTAGGTGCTTTAAAAGATATATATTAATATTTGACTAATGGTTTTAATTTAGCAATTAAATAAAATTCAAGTATGTGCAAGCAAAGTCACGGGCAAAATATTACAAAAGCTTAGGTATAATGTCTTAAGAGTGGATGATATTTTTTATAAAAGCTTGAAGGGAAGAATCATTGAAAAAAGTTTAAAATTGTCATTTTTATTAAGTTAACTATTTGGAATAAACAGCTTAGAGATTACTTTAAGAGTGTTAGCCTTGAAGAACTAATAATTCACAACAAGAACATAATAAAAAATATATAAAATCATAACCAAATCACTCGTTCTATTTTGTTGGCCTTAATGTAAACAAATTCATAACCTTTGATTTATTCAATTTATTGAACAAAACACTAGGTCATGTGAAAATACAGAAAACATTTTGGGTTTAGAAGACCCTAATGAAGTATTAATTTGTATAAAATAAGCAATGTCCTTTCGAATGTGGGTTATTTAATACGTTTTATGCGCTTGTACTATTAAAAAATGCAGTTAAATATTTTTACAAATAGACGAATAATTATAAATATGTCGATTAATTAACTTAAATTACCGGGTAAATTAAATTATATTAATTCACGGATAGTCAAAATCTGTATCAGCGACATAAATAAAATCGTAACGACACTTTCATAAGTTAGTTTGAGGTCAAATTTAAATTTAAAATTCAGAAAAATCATCTTAATTAATATTCTATCAATACGAGTAAATAGACTCGTTTACTTTATCGTATTTATGTCATACTATTGTTTAATATTTATTTAACCAATATTTTGGAAAGCTAATATTGAAAGGAAAGGTAAGGCTTGAATAAAAAACAATTGAAACTTACCCCATCTCTTTGGAGTGCGTCCCAAAAAGGTTCTTTCTTCTGGGTTCCATATTGTGTACTGGATGTTCTGAAGGAACGGCCTCTTAGGCGGACGTCGGCAGTAGTTCACGACCCCATTGGGCTTGTCCGCACCCATCGTGCCTGCGAGCCTGTAACAGACTGACTTAAAACACTCTTTATAGATTATGACTTGTTTGAGAGGCGTATTGTGCCTACGAAGAAGATGCCTCTCAAAGTATAATCTGGCAGAAAACTGTGGTACTTAGTAGGGATAGATTTTTGTTAAATTATAAAAATTCTTTAAATTGGTATACTTACTTGATAAATGAATATTTCTCATCTTTAGCATCAGAGTTGGTTTTTTTTAAACACCTTCTGCATCACTTGAGATAATATTAAAATCAGTAAAAGTTACTACGAACTCAAAAATAAGATAATAAAAAAATATATAGTTAGTGCAATATTTGTATTTTTACCATTCCATTTTCCCGAGAACTTTTAAGTTTACAAAGAAGCGAAATAACTTTTTTTGGACTTTCAAAGTTTTTTTAAATTATTGAATATTATTTTCCAAATATGTCATTTTAAAGCGTTTCTTGTTACAAAGTTATTTTTTTTTTCCACTTTTTATATTACTTGAGAACATCTGAACCAATTTTTTCGTGACGGCACTTGGACACTTTTCAAATAAAACCCTGAAAATGCGAAGAAAATAACAACCTCTTTCTTTTCAAACAAGAACAAGGCATAATACCTTTCCCTCGCCGTCCCTAGCTTTCGAAACATAAAAGGCGTGAGGCCAATAACCTTAAGAACGTAAAGAGCGAATTTCCGTTTTCGTGTTTGTGACTTCATCGATAGCGTCTGCCATATTTAATCTATGACAACAGCGCTTGAACCGCCTAAATCTGCCCAAGTCTAACATGTACCCGCCCTACGCAACTAGTTGCCCTTCCCAATATTATTGCTTTAGTACTTTAGTTATCCGTAGGTACTAATTATTTTAAAGGGATGACTTTACTTTGAATATTATATTGAATATGAATACTGAAGGGTTATGAGAAACCGATAATATTAAAATAAATAAGTATATTCGCTTAAAATGTAATACAAATGATAATTATTAAGGTACTTATAGTCCCAATCTCTAGGATACTTTAATCCCGTGATCTACCTTACGAGTTTTTTTTATTTTATTTCTTATTTATTTCCAGGACAGGTGAAAAAACAAGCAACGAGCTAAAGTATGCAGAATGTACGTATCGTATATATTCAACACCAACATAATGGCCCATTTACACTGGTCAATGGATAAACACACAGAGTTTTTTTCACCACCAATCAATAAAAGCGAGGAAAAGAATGAGGATAATTTCATCGACCAGTGTAACTGACTGATATTACATTGAGTCCTTGTCCGTTTTTGCCTGCTCTAGGTATTACTTGGTATACCTAGATTTTGTTCTTTAAAAACTGAAATACTCTGAAGCCGCTGAGTACAATCAGTTACACGTTAGATTACTTCAAAAGGTCAAATTTCAGCAGTCATAGCAACCTAAGGTATGATGCTGTTAGAAACATCCATAATTTGCTAAGGTTTGTGACAACCCTACGACTGTAGCCAAGCCCTTACCACTTAGCTAATTCTTTGTTTGGCTAATTTGATTACTAAGAAGCATCTGTACTATCTAATAATAAGTGGCTACAGTCAACAACGCATAATGATATAGTTATACTTATCTGTCAATTTAATCATATTTAAAATGTTAAATTAAAAATTTATTGCAGAAACTTTGTTATAACCCGATGTCATTGTTACTTATGACGTCTTTCTGTATTATAATGTGCCTCTAATGTAGCTTTACTTGCAGGTAGGCTCAACCTGATAATAAATATTTTGTTCGTTCCTTATGTTATGAGTATATTTCTCTTTCGTGTACTATAAAGTGTAAATGCTGTTAATTCTGTTTCCGTTCTTCTTGCAACCAATAAACTTAAATGGATAGCGTAAAAATGTAGAACGAATCAAAGGTATGAATGAAATGAATGAAAAATTCTTTATTGTACACCAATGGACAGAAACAAATATAAGGATACAATAAATGTGAATGCACAATTGGCGGTCTTATTACTTTCCATAGGCTTATTTGAATAAAGAAGTGATTTAAATTCATCATCAGCCCTTTTACGTCGCTACTGCAGTGGCTCAGGCCTTCCTTATAGATGGTTAAGAAGGATGGGCCATAACTCTTCACGCTGGCCGAATGCAGATTGGAGACTGCGACGGCAAACGCAGCCGGGATCAACGGCTTAACGTGCCTTTCGAAGCACAGAGTAGCTCGAGGTAATAATCTTTTGGTCACCCATCCAGTGACCGATCCTTGCAAAAGTAGCAACAACGATCGCAGGCCGCGGCGCTTATCTACTATGTACACCAGCGAGTTACAGGTTCATTTCAATTATATCTTTATATTTCAAAGACTTTTCCAAGAGCAGAAAACAACAAAGAGATTACCAATAGCATGATAAAGCATCTCCCTCCTCTGGTGGAACCAGAGCGGGCTTTCAACAAAACACTCCTATATTGCACGATGCCACGTCTTGGATCAGTTCAAAATGGACCAACCAATACGGTCCCAAACAGGACACGAAAGATTTTGGTACATAGATCCGGTGTACATAAAAGGACATGTCCACGCAGGATAATCGATTAAAATGCATTTTCGCTATGACAAAAGTTTACACACTAAAATGACCCTTTAGTTGATGGATTGTACTGAACCATACGTACAATCCATTAACCATAAGTTTCCATCAAGGAAACGCATTAGGCACTATCCTGCCGCCTGGCAAGCGACCCTAGTCGTTTGTGTGACACCAAATAATACCTTCTTCAAATAAACTATTTTATTTATTTTATTACGTTAAATCCAATCTTTAAGTAATATTTCGAACTTGAGCAACATTACTATCTACAGGCACATTCAACATGAAATATTATAAAATGGAAGTAAATAAGTACTACATTGCTTATAAAAGGGGAAAAGTAACATTAAAAATACGTAATAGTTTCACCACAACTTTATTTTGTCTCAATTGCAATTATGGTAAAACAAATATTAAACTAAATTACAGGTGGGATAACATTATTCTAAATGCCGAATATTAAAGGCGAAAATCAATTGTTCAAAATAGGGATGACGACTAATTTTTGTTTGTTTGTCCGTCAGGTAGAGTGTTAAAAAATATTAAACACGTATTTTTTTATTTTTTCGTAATCATAAAATTACGGCTTTACATGGAGTTGAAATTTCGCATGACGTCACGTTAGAGTACGTTTTCTACTCAACTGTGACGTAGCGAGCCCCCACTCCTCAACTTTAATGCCTGTTATCTAAGTTATTTCTTGTTAAATTGAAGTATAAAAAAAATATATCCAATATTTTTCTATTGTCTGACTGACGGACTAAATAGAATTGCATTATTTTAACCCAGTCATCATCCCTATTACATCATATATTTGTCATGAACAGACTACATCCAGATTCACAAACGTCCATTATAGTTTAATGACGATTCAAAGCTGTGATGAACACTTTTAATTTGAAAATTTGTGTCAGTAATGTCACTTTAAACTAATGACAGTTTTAATAGACCTTTGTGCAATGGGCAGTACGTTTTGTCTTGATTCCAAATAAGTATTTACAAAGGAATATTAAAAACATTAAACGACGTGATTTAAAAATATAATTTTCCAAACAAAATGTCCCTCCTACGTGCTCATGGAAACGTCTTAGTAAAAGTCCTTTAAGCAAAGGTCGGTTTATATTGTAGAGGTCTCTGGGAAGTAACAAATTTTAATTTTATATTATTAAAATAAATGTCGATTTGAATCCTCCACGGTTGAACACAAAACGTATATTATCAGAAGTCAGTGAAAAATTATTACATGTTAATTAAATACATATAATGCGCGGCACGCAACTTGAACCAAAACGGCGATCGCATTTATTTTTGGATCTTGATCAAAATGAGAACGTAACCTTTTGATTAATAATCACAGGTTTACCATATTCCGGTTTCCGGTATATGGATACCGGAAACCGGAATCTACGGGGGAAATCGCTAATTTAATTCAACTTATGTGTCGTACATTACACTTACTTATATTACCTATAAATGGCATAACTGCAAAGGCAACTATATGCTTTAATAGAGAGCCTTTTTATAAATAAATAAAATCTATAGGTATCATACTAAAATGAGATTCATATCCTATCGTAAAATTTCTTAAAAGTTAAAAACATTGTACTATCTACAGGCAGAAATACAGTGAATTTCATTATATATAATTAAACCTTATATTTACAAATAAATTAAGAAACAAAAACTGTATGCCGTGAATTTACGTGCTTCAGACCAAATATAACGTCTGAAATAATCTTAATATTCTAACCCTTTGCATGTGAACATAGCAACCTAATTACTAGTTTCGAAACAAACTTCACTATGTAGCTAATATACACTTAAACTTACGCGTTGCATTACAATAAATATAAGAAACTGGTCTCACACGTGATTTCGCTAATGTTACCTGGAGAAAAAAACTGTACGCTAGAAGTGGATCCCACTTCAAACAACTTCTCCAAAACATCGAAAAATATAGTTACACGAATGGAAAATCCTATCTCAACTGTTAGGTAGCCTATTCACGTGCAATACTCGTATCTTCACTACCTCATCAGCACATGGATTTGTAAAATTGAAGACAATTCTTATTTTTGCATAATCTTGTTGATATGCTGGTACGGCTAGTACGTGTTTCTAGGGAAAGAGAAAATGTTGATCTTTCTTTACGGTATTTTTAAAGTATTTTGGCTCTTTGGTATTATATTTTCGTTCCATTCCATTAGGCATAATCTACCTGTGTAACTCGTCATCCTTATCACACAACACGATAACACTTCCCGACTCATAAACAATATCTTAAGGTTTTGAAACCAATGCAATAATCTCAACATTTACTGCCAAATGAGTTTTTAAAAGCTTTTTAGGGCAGGCGAAAATGGTGCGAATTACATGACCAAATGATTTAAAAAAAAACTTAATTTTACCATTAATATATACTAATTAACATACTTAATATATGTATAAGTTTATACAAATGATTGTATTCAACATACAAAATATTTATTACAAATTTAAGTTACACATATATGGCATATTATCACCAATTAATTTCATCAATTACATCACTTTGTTTCAAATATATACGCATGATATTGACTGGCTGTAGGTATAAGTAAAACTAGGAATTGTTTTTTTAGTGTCAACATGCTATATATGCATAAATTAATGTTATCTATTTCATTTCTCAAATTGATAACCATATTCCTTAGTTTCATTTCTAAATTTAGTATATAGACAAATCATTTTCATTGTAAATTCAATTTTCCTTCCTTTGTGTAGTATCATTGGTCAGTACACTAATAGTATTTACTCAATAAATTCTTACCGATTGATTGATCAAGCATAAGTAAGCTGACACCTTGTTGCGAAATGCAAACAAAGTATTTGGTAGCACTCGTTTAAAATCTAAAGCTTAAAACAAATTATTATTCTCTACATTTCAGTATTAATAAGAGAAACTGAATAAAACAATATTGCCAGTGAAGAACAATCTATTTTAAGAAAGACTGTAGCTAAGGAAAAACGAGAGGTAACGTTATGAATGCTGCCATTATCAACATAGAAAATTTTATTTCTGTGTTAATATTGGCCTCCCAATGGGGTTTGCCGTTTTATCTACCTAGACTGGAGCTAAATAATAGTACAATTTCGTCTTCATATGTTTTTGTACATTTTAGTAATTATATGATCTAGTTACCGCGTCTAAACGAGTCGTTAAAATACCATTAACACGCCATCATTACGTTAACAAAATAAAAGCCCTGAGAAACTATAATGCATAGTACACGATAATCAGACAATAATATTTTCGTTTTCATTAAGTACTTACTATAGGATCTACAAAAAAAAAGAGATAGTTACTGGTCCGTTCTAAATTCAAAGCCAAGCTATTTCAAAGGCTAATTAACTATAAATGAATTGTCACTGTTTATGTGCATTATGTTTATTGACATTCGCTTTTTGGAATCAAATAACTTTATGTATTAATTGAAATACGCCATTCTGAATCCGTAAATTTAAACATAATCGCTCCAGATTGACATGAAAAATTCTTCACTGGCAACACAATCATTAGAACCTACCCATTCATGTTTGCGGTCAAGGTTCCTTAACAAATTATTTTCAAAACAAATTTCAAAAAAAATGTACCAATTGTACTTACTTAATTGATTAAGTATTGATATATTTGTATAGAAATAACATTTTGACTAAACCACAAAATATACTAGCATCGTGATTATTTAAAGTAAAAATTACGTAATGATATTAATGATTCCAAAATGTATTACTGAATTGAAATTAGAGAAATCCCTTCTCCATTCATGAATTCTTAAGAAAACACTAAAATATTAAAGAAATGTGTCTCAATACATCTTTAACTGCAACACAAAACTTTTTATAACTCAGTTGTTGTAATATTAGTGAGGTCTTCTACGTATAGTTGAATGCGGATGTAGCCTGAAGGCTCCTTCAGACTTTTGCTGTACACAACATTCTTCGCCCACGCCCGGCATCGAATGTATACAAATTCATTGACTGCAGACACAGACAAATAATAACATTAAGACTAATTGAATTAAATTATAAAAGTAACTTAAGGAATGCTTTCAGAATTTACAAAAAAAAAAAAACATAAAGGAATTCGATAATAAATCACATTTTCTATCTCTTTTATATACATTTTTAGAAAAATTACAAGCTCGCTCGATTTAAACTCGCTCATGGTCTAAAAGCAAGTATGCAATTTGTAGAATTAAATCTGATGTTCATAATTACTAATTTATTAGAGAAAAAATACTCATATATTCACTTTTTTACATACATACCCGGTTTCTGAATTGAGAATCTTTTGAAATCAGTTGAGAATGTCTCAAACCGTGCTTAAGCTATTTTAAATGTCATTTAAACAGGTTTTCATTACTGATTTATAATTTTTTAATGATCAGCTGATAGCGATTCGCTTAAACTAAGACTTTTTGACATATAAAACGTATTAAACTTAAGTTAAACTTATGTATTACTTAAGTTAAACCTAAGTTTAATACGTTACCTAAATTATTATTCTCAATAATAATAATTTCAATAATATAAAAAGTAGTTTGCTGTATACTAATAACTTTGCGGCTGTGTTTCTCATTATACTATTTACCTGGTGGAGTGAATCTAACAGCCACTAGAGGACTCAGGTAGCCATCATCGTTCATGAAAGGATAATAATCTGCCGGTAATCCTCGACTCCAGGGATATTCAATAATAGTTCGGTTATCTTTCTCTTGCCAACAGGACACCCAAATTTGGTTCAGCTGGAAAAGAAAAATATTTTGTTTAGGATGATGCGTTTGAATGAGTCGTAGAAATGCAACCACGAAGAGTTTCTAAAGGAAATGAATTAGGACCCCAATTACTTAAAATTTCATAGTTGAATTGACAATAAAAATGTGTATTTACCTGAGGCGCATGAGATTTGATATAATCTTTGAGATCATCTGACATTTCTCCGGGTAAATTTTCTGAATCATTGTAGCATTTTGGTATCCAGCCGATGATCTGTTAACAAACAATAATTGATTGATTGATACCTAATACATTACCAAAAGGAAAACAACGAAAAAGTTATAAAAAAGTAGAAAACAACCCATAGTACATACAAGTTACGACATGGATAACCCAAACTAATATTATAAATGCGTAAATAATTCTGTCTGTGTATCTGTTTTGTTTTCACGCCTAAACTATTGAACCAATTTTGATGAAATTTGGTACACACTACACAGTAAGATGAGAGTGGACCTTGGAAAAAGACAAGATAGCTTTTACTGCAAAAACATTCTACGCGGGCGAAGCCACGAGCGGAATCTAGTAAAAAAAGAAAAAGTAGTCAAATAATTAACAGAAACAAACCTTTCTATTACCTTGTTTAACTTAATAAAAAAACATGGAGTGTACGGGTAGCCAAAATTATCCTCCCCTGTGCATTCGCCCGATGTGTAGAGTTTCGTGTTTTGATAAGCTAAAACAAAAATATGTATGTTATAGCTAGTGGGGATGAGGACTGTAAATTAAAACTAATGGATGTATGATAAAATATATATCACAAATCACAGCAAACGACAATATCCAACAACAGCAAACAAAGAGTAAGTAAAAGAACAAAATAAAAAATATGACATAAACTAAATCAAAAAGGATGGCGCTTTCCAGCCAGTCGCCTACAGTATGTTTTTTAATAAGCATTTCAATCCAGTATTTATGGATCATAAGGAAAGACATTGTTGTGCTACATTAGTCAGTTTAAATTATAACAGAAATATGTAGTACATCACGCAAATGAGGCTGGATTTTTCCTAAGGACACTTGCTGATACAGATCTGAGGGCGCGGCAATGACGCGGTCACATTGTCAACCGACGACCTATTGATAGCAATCGATACGCCTGGACTAGGTGAACTATAAACCCATCACGTTATTGTGTTGGAGCTGTTGTGTGATCGCCAACAGATGTGCCAACAATGGGACGGTTTGTTGAAGGCACGGTGTGTCATTTGACTCTATGGCCATGTTATGGTATATAGGATGTAACATTAAGAACTGTTATTATTTGAAAGTCTAAAACTTTATTACGTAGGATTATCTGCTATTAGAAACCATGTTATCGACTTTAATGAAAAGCGAAAACTTCTCCGTTCAGGAATCGATCAAGAACGTTTTGAAAATAAAAATAAAAACTAATTCATATTTTTATTATTTCGCGTTGTCATAGAAACAATTTTATGCACCTAAACCAGTTGAATTCCGCATTGAAAAAAAATGTTAGTCATTTTGAACACCGAACTAAAATAAATTGCAGGATCATTTTAGAACATGCGTAAGACGCATATTATCAGTATCTAAGTAGAAATAATGTTATTTTTTTGTCACCCTGATTGCGAAAGGTATAGGTTCGAGTCCCATCTCAGAGTGCCAGGGTCAAAGTGGATCTTTTAAGCATTTTTCATTAAGAATATTTTTCAGTATAACATTTTCAATGCAAAATTGATCAAATGTAATAATAGAGCTTTAATACTTACGTTTTAGAAACTCCTGAAGCTCCTCGATGATGCGACTCTTTGTGGTGTCGTTATTTGCGTCGTAGGTGACCACCAAACCGGGATGAGGCAAGGGACGAGCGGCCACACCAGGATTATTACCTGACGAGGACATGTGGATATATATATATTTATTTTGTTTTGGTCAATTTACTTTTTTTCTTATTTATCTATTTTATGAGGAGCATATTACATGCTACCACAGATAACTATAAACTCAACATGAAATATTAAGTTAGCGTATCGTGCAGTATAACCAACTCAGAGCTAGATGAGAGCTTACTGATAGAATCAGTATCACTACAATAAGTCCAGCCACTTTAAACTTATGGAGGTATGTACGCCTGCGAGACGTGTGATTTGCCATCAATATTTTATTAAATTTGGATCAAAAATAATAATTAGTATAAATTTTTTTTTAAGTGATAATAATGAAGTAATTTGATGGAAATAAATACAATTTTGACGTTTTCTGAAAATATGTTTTTTAAATTTAAATATATTATTATTATATTATTCAACTGTGACTGCTGCTTTATTTAATAAGACTGTTTTTATTTATTAATTAAAATCCTTTAACATTTAGACATAAGTTGTGTATATTTTTTTCTTTAAATTGCAATTTCCTATGAAACGTATGATAAGGCTTTGTGTCACTCTCAGATAAATTTCGTTTCTAAAATTAATTAAAAATAAAATTACCTATCAATTAAATAAATCATTAGAAATATGGCTGGTTTTGTTTATAATGATGAATTATCCCGGCTTATGGCAAGTGAATCATGGTGACTAATTTAGAAACACGAATCAGAAAGGCTACGGTGTACTGTATGTGAAAATGAAACTAGTAATTACTTTTACGAGGGTCAAACTGAAAGTTCTTAGAACTGGCCACTTATAAACAATATAATAAAAAAATAATTCTAAAATTTGAAAATATAACTCTTTGCCAATATTACTGAGTATATATTTCATTCATTTGTCATTTGTTTTACGATTTGGCGGCAAATTGAAAATTGTCTGTGTCACGTCATCATGAATTTAACACGAGAAAATTTTCGTGCAATGATTTTTTATGACTTTCGATGTCATTTAAGTCAACAAGAAAGTTATGATAGACTACGATTGGCCTTTCACGATGAAGCCCCATCTCGTGCGACTGTTTACAACTGGTTTAATGAGTTTAAACGTGGTCGCACTAATCTCACTGATGATTTACGTGAGGGACGGCCTTCTACGGCGACGACTGAAGATAACATCTGTGTTGTGCGGCGTATGATAGAGACTGACAAAAGAGTGACCTATCAACAGATTCGGACAAGCTTAGGCATCGGTATGAGTCAAGTGCACAAAATCCTCCACGAACATTTAGCGGTCAGGAAGCTTTGCGCCCGGTGGATACCTCACAATTTGACTGAGGCTCAAAAACTCCATCGTGTGGATTGGTGTCGTAAAATGATCGAAAGATTTAACGGAGGTGACTCAAATGCTGTGTTCGACATACTAACAGGTGACGAAAGCTGGATTTACTGTTATGATCCTAAAACCAAAAGACAATCTGCTCAGTGGGTGTTTCCTTTCGAGGAGTTGCCAACTAAAGTGAAGAGAGATCGAAGTGCGGGAAAAAAATGGTGGCCTCGTTCTTTGGAAGGATAGGTCATTTTGCAACAATTGTGTTAGAGGATCAAAAAACAGTTTCTGCAGAATGGTACACTACCAATTGTTTGCCACTTGTCTTGGAAAAAGTTCGAGAGAAACGACCTCGCAGTAGGATCCTCCTTCACCACGACAACGCCTCGTCGCACACCGCCAAGCGAACGATCGACTATTTGGCGACATCAAACGTTGAATTACTGGGTCACCCGCCGTATAGCCCCGACCTCGCGCCTTGTGATTTTTATTTATTTCCAAAAATTAAAGAAAAACTTAAAGGAAAGCGGTTTATGAATGCTGAAGAAGCGGTGGCTGCGTATCGCGATGCCATTGAAGAGACCCCTAAGGACGAGTGGGCAAAGTGCTTTTCCCAGTGGTTCCATCGCATGCAGCGGTGTATTGACGTGAATGGACAATATTTTGAAAAGATATAATAAAACTAATAACTGGCTAATGTAATCAGTTTTTGATTTTCTAAGAACTTTCAGTTTGACCCTCGTAGTAAAGTATAAAAGAAAAGCAAACAGGGCTTCCCAACATTTTACCTGTAAGTGTGTTCACGCGAATTATTGTGTATTTTCGCAAGCAAGAGATATTTATTTCGCTTCCCTAGCAGTTTTTAGGGTATAAGGGGTAAAACGGGACTCTATTACTAAGATCGCTGTCCGTCCGACTGTCACCAGGCTACATCTTTCACATATTATGTATTTCTATTGTCACTATAACAACAAAAACAAAAAAAAAAACAAATATTTAAGGGGGTTCCTATAAACTACGAGTATGTTATTATTATGCATTTTTCAAAGATTTGTATTGTATTTAAATTGTACGGAACCCTTCGTGCTCGAAACCAACACGCACTTGGTCGGTTATTTGTTTTTTTTTTCTATAGATAATATTAACATGCCTTAATCCTTCTTACAAATTAATGCAAATTATATTGAAGTTAACGCAGAAATCAGTCTGAATTTAAATTTTGTTAAACAAAATTATAATGTGTTCAAACCTATGAGTGAGGTGGTGAGCGTGTACGTCGGCGTCTTGGAGTCCAGCGACAGGAACAGTCCGCCCATGCAGGCTGCGAACAGCAGCGCCAGGACCGCGTAGAACACCATGTAGAAAGTGAGTACGATACCTTTGTATAAAAAGAGTATTTTGAACAAATTGCTTAAACATTTCATACACAGTCGGGCTTCACCCGGATTGCGAAAAGTTCTGGGTCAATCAAATTCAATTTCAAAGGCCTGGTGAATTTTTAAGAATTTTCTTTTACTATAAATTTATATAAAAATACTAGAAGTTTCAATTGAAACATTAACGTAAAACAGAATTTGCAGTTTAACTGAGTCCTTATGTATCCTTATCCTTAATTATCCTCAACCTTTGTTAATGAAAAAACGTAAAAAGAATCGAAACAATATTTGTAAAATATTACCAAAAAACGTGAAATTATGTAACAGAAAATATGCAATCAAATACTACCGCACTCGATAAAATTCATCACAGTTTGGCACTCAAGTAGCGGCCAGCCACACGGATCCCTAACATATTTGACAATATTCTATCACTTATGTTTATTAGGGATATCTACATTAGATATCATTGGGATTCTAATAGCAAAATATGTTTTTAACTCAATCTATTAACTATCTATTAAGTAACTTGTTTAATGCAAACAAACAATAAAATTTTGCCTCATTCTTATATTACCTATAAGTAGTAGATTAAGATATCCACTGACGTCAGATTCGTTGATCATTTAGCCAAAAACTTACTGATTCTGAGTTGTCAATTAGTAATGAAAACTTTATCAAATAAGCCCCGAGTAGATGTAATGTGCGCAGGCCTTAGTTAGGTCTTTTAAAATATACTACCAGTGATTTCCAATCGGCACTTGTTAGGTGTCTATAGTAGCGTTTACATTATACCTATATTGTGCATCAATTAACTAGCGGCGCTTGTACCGCGTCCAAGATCAATTGACATGTAATCTATTAATATAATGTTATTGAAAGAGATTGAAGAATGTAGAAAAAAATTAAAGCCTCCATCAGTGTGAGTGTACTAGAGACATAGTATTTGTAATAAACTGATCCATGTTCTGATTGGTTGTAAACTGTAATGCCCAAACTAATCGGATAAACATCCAATCAGAAATTAATGTCGGCACTACTCTAGTTTGTAATTTTTTTATTACAAGCTATTATTTATCTTGCCTTGTTAGTGTTAGTGCGCAAATCTTGGAACTCAAATTTGACCCATTTCCCAAAATACGATAGATTTGCAATTTTGCATAGACATGTAATTCCGATGACAATGCAACATTATGGTGTCAATAAGCTGATTGATGATGAAGTCCGAAGGTAGTCATAGGAACTTAGTGATGAATTGATACAACTGCATCGTGTCTTTATGAGAACTTTAGTACTGGATGCTTTCCAGACCACGATCTGGTGATTATGGAGCTGGTACTTAGCAATGTAATAACGCAACTGCACCGTGTTTGGGCTCTTTAGATCCGTAAAAAAATGTTATAAAAAGTTTTTAAAAACGAGCTTCTACTTACGCCCACTATAACGTAAATAAATAAATTCTAATTATTTAAAGTACTTATAATCAAATTTTTTTCCAAATATCTATTGAATATAATAAAAATATTCTGAAATCGCTATTTTCAAGTCTAAAAATGTAAAGAAAATAAATCTCAGAGTAAAAAATGTAATCTCAGAGTGCTGGGGACAAAATGATTTTTTAAGATTTTTTTTATTAAGATTATTTTTCAGTATTGTGAATACAGAATTGATCAAATATAAAAATTATATAAAAAAAATTATCTTCATCGAAAGTTGAAATATTTGAAAAATATTTATTATATCTGTTTGGGTGGATTTCTTGAACATTGATGAAAATAAGCGAAAAATTAATAAGTGCTTGAAAAATTGTCAAGGTCATACGTTCGAGTCCCATCTCAGTGTGCCAGGGATTAAATACGATATATATCGATTGATGTATATGTATATCAATTAATTATAATACTTATTTACAAGCTACAATATTATCCAACCCGATGTGGCGCTGGCAACACTGGCCCGAAGTAGCAATGTTACTGAAATTTCGTGATTTTTCCTTAATATGAACGCGAAATGCAAAAGGTTGGTTTTTTATTCTTTCTTGTAATTTAATACTTATGTTTAAGGTTTATTAAAGTAAGTAGATGTTCCCCTACGCGATACTGGAAATCCACGCACACATATTTATTTTATAATAAAAAGAAATTCAAATTCAATCATTATATTACACTTTTGATTTAAAATATAAATTTTTTGATTAAGCCAGTGACTTTATGCCATTGGCAGTTTAAAAATCGCAACTTTTCCTATGCATGATATATTCGAATAAATATCAAATATCGGACATTTTGATATTTATTAAAAACTAGCTTTCCGCCAGCGGCTTTTCCCGCGTGGTGTTTTATTATACATAAAAACCTTCCTTTTGAATCACCCTATCTATGAAAAAAAAAACCGCATCAAAATCCGTTGCGTAGTTCAAAAGATTTAAGCATACATAGGGATATTACCTTTCAGTACCTGAAATATTTGAAATCTCGGAAACCATTCAATGAAAATAAGCAAAACAACCAAATCTTTCATTACCGGTGCTGTTAACTGATATAGTGACAGGAATCCATTGCATAAGCAACACACCACAAATTCGTATAGGTACCCTACCCTACCTACCTGTGATTAATATCTTAAAACAATGTGCTAAAGATCCAAATCACCAAGCGTAAACATAACGTAACAGACAGTATAATGTTATTCTCAGAAATCAAATGTATGTGTAAATGTATATGTATATAACTTGTAGTGTTTCGTAGAATGCAATCCGATGATCTTAGATACTTAATATTTAAACAAGATATCTGACAAAATTAATTATAAATATCTAATCAAACTTATTACTTTTACAATTGCCGCAATGTTTTGTGGAATATTAATTAAAAAAAAACCTTATTACTCCCCTCAATGATTTGACATTTTCCATAATGATGGAAGATCCTTTTGTTCATTATTTATATTACACAATGGACTGTAAACTTTAGTGATGTATTTATACAGTCGAATATCTGAATCTGAAGGGGTGGGGGGGCTTGTATGTCAAATGTTAACAACCGAACGGTGTGACGAAAACTGCCACGCGCGGACAGAAATAAAACGGCGCATACGCACGCCGAGACGCCGCCGTTTGCTGGAGACCAAACGTAATAACCTACCTATTTTAGTATCAATTGATTACGCACGTGATTAAAGGTAATTATTTATTTAATCTTAATTGCCTAGTGTAATAGACAAATGGGGGACTTAATACCAAAGAGGCATTCTCTACCAGTCAACCAGTAATTTTAGTACAAAACTTAAAGTGGCGACAGCCATCACGAATGTTGATATGTACCTACATTATACTATTGATATCCCTACTATATATACATACACCTAATCTGGTGTCAGATCAAGAAATCCTGTTTGAAGCATGGTAGCAGTTGCGAGCTGCTGTCTTGAATGCAAATTTGTTAGAAGCACTTCGGACGTTCAAAGGTAGTGCATTCCAAAGATCCTAGACACAAAACCACCCGGATGGTGGTTAGTGTGAAGGAATGAGATACAAAACGATATGGTTCTTAATACATATTACGGTCACTAGGAACCGTGTGACATATTTCTCTCTTGCCATGGAACGCTCGCTTGGTTTAATATGCGCTACCTAAATGTAGATAATTAAACCTCTGCACCACGGACCACTTGGGATACTTCGAAGGTCCAGGAACCAGTGGCCCGTGGACTATCAGTTAAGAACCACTACGACCTTAATTTTGCTAAGTTTAACGTAACAATGGCGCCTCATTGGCGTTTTAACAACTACTGTTTTAATACAGTCCTTATATATTGTGAGATCACAAAATAACCAGTGTCTAGCAGCATTGCTCTCATTATAAGCGACGTAAGATAAGCAAAGCAAAATCAAGGATCTGATCTTTAGATGACACAAGCACACATATATTAATTTTAAATTACATTACATTACATTACTTTATGTATTTGTATACAAAACTGCATTTTAGTTCCTATTAAAAAGCAAAAAGAATGAATCAATCAATAATGAGTTTTGAATCAAGGCCACTGTATATAATGTCAATATGTTAAATCAATTGAGTTTGCGCACGCGCATTCATTCCCACTACACGACCTACTAACGTGCCAATCAATTTCCCATCTGACCGACAGGTTACGTACACACAATTATTTTGTACCGTGCATATTGGATCCCGCAAATCAACAACTGAACTAAGGAAGGAACAATGTTTAGAAGTATTTGGAAAAAAGTCGCTTAAAATACTTAACAATTCTAATACTTAAGTTAGTGCCAGGTGCATGCACGGGATTCGAACTTTCACAAACATCCTCGTACAATCCGAGCGACTGTTCTAACCGTTTTGGGTTCGAGTCCTATCTAGCTACTATTTTATTTATTTTTATTTTATTGGAAAACATACAGTGATATTTTACGGTAACCGTTGCTATACTATCCACAACTCACCATTTAAATCTTTTCGCATATATATAACATTATGTTGCTTGCTTACTCTCCTCGCAAATGCTAACAAAGAAAAAAAAATAGGAAATTATATCGCATCTGGAATACCTACAGAAAAAGGAACGTCAAACCAAAACTGAGTTAGCGTATTTTTAAATATATTTTTAAATATATAAATATAAACTATAGGTTGTAAATAAATAGGTCAAGTTTGGGAAAGATGGTCAGTTAGTTAACTCATTGGAAGATATTACAAAAAAGTAGTTTTGCCTATAATTAGCGGTGCATTGATGTCCATGCAAGTATGAGATTGATTCCCGAGAGAAGCTCCGGTGAGTCTATTTGATACTGTGCAATCTTAACCAAGTATACGATGTCCGTTATTTCTCTACATTTATAGAGGACCAAAATGTGGTATCTGCGACACTAACGGTCAGTTGCACAAACGTCCATTAAGGTTTAAAGACGCCTTTAAGCTCTAATGAATGTCAAATTTGTGTGGGTAATGTTGCTATAAACT